CAGGTGCTGCTAATACCTGTGATCCTTCAAGGGATGTGCTCAAAGAGGAGTTCAACATTATGAATAAAATATAGTGTTTTATTTTACAAATACTATTATAAACACAAACTTACGTTTTAAGAAACATTATTTTAATAACGAAACTGCTCAATTCTTTCCAACAGTATAGATGTGTAGTGTATTTTGTCCGAGTGGGTTTGCCGTACTTTGACGTCATCGGCAGTCGAAGGACCCCGAGCCGATCTTGCACCCGAGCAGATCCTGTACCGACACCGGCTGCTGAAGGGCTTCTTCTTCAGTGGTGTAGGCTCAGGCAGGCTGTATACAAACTACTGCCAGCTGCTCCCTCTCTGTTGGACTTTGGTACTGCATGCTACTTCCACGATTTAGATCCGGGGCTTTTCATAAAACATCCGGGGCTTCAGCCCAAGTAGCCGGGCCTAACGCCGCCCCTGGTTCAACTTCCAACAGAATCCGGGCTTCAACAACCAGAACTGGGTCGGTGCTAAATAAAAGCAGAAGGAAGCCATAAATAAACTGAGCAGCTTTAGTGTGACGTCTGCAGACAACTGCAGATATTAGACATTTTAAAACTACTTTTAGTTAATAATTCATCACGTTGGCTCTTATTTGTCCAGCTGCAGTTCAAACCTTTAGCCTCTGGCTGTAATTACACAGATCTGCTTGTTAGAGCTCCTCTATCTAAAAGCATTGTTTTAATTAGAGGAAAAATGATTAGTTCCACTCCTCCAGTGATGGGAAAAGTAACTCCCGTCTCCATAGCAACAGATGCCCCCTATTCAGGCATGAACTGTAAAACAAAGACGCTCTTTAAGATAATGAACGTGTTAATGGCCGATGTAAACATATCTGTGGTAAATGCATGAAAGTGGCACAACCTCTGGTTTAAATGAGATTTGGGATTTTTATCATGTCATCAAAGCTGGTTTAAAGTAGTCAAAGTAAAAAAGAACCATTTGGATGAAAAATAATAAAAATGCAGAATCTGTCTGATTTACCAGCGGTCTCCATTTCAGCATATTTAACGAGATGAAATTACAGAACTGGGGTACCCAGCACGTTTAGTTTTAACTGTTTCAGAACACGGGTGATTAACTCATTCACTGCCAGCCGTTTCCTGTTCACTAACGGCCTTTGCTGCCAGCGTTTCTCACCGTTTTTACTGTTTTTTTAAGAGTCACAGAACGTTGCGCGCTAGCATGATGTCGATGCCAAAACAAGCAAAACAAAGAGGAGACTCACCTCTTACATCAGGAAGAATCCGTGTGTTTCGAGCGTTATCCGTTCTTTCATAATCCGTTGTCGAATTGTGATCGGCAGACGCTTTTCCGGTTCGCGCCTCACTTTTTTTACAGGAACGGCCCAAAACGTTCTCCTAACACATGGATGTGTTGCGTCCTGATCATGTGACGTGTGAGGTATGCGGATGAAGATCGGCTTCAGGGCTGAGATGTTTGTTCTCTCAGCGCGGGGGCTCGTTCCGATGCTCAAACAGTAAAAAAATGCAAATGACGACTTTAGTCGTCATTGGCAGTGAATGAGTTAACAGGCTTCTGCAGAGCCTGGTGAGCTGCTGCACATGTGACTCAACCACTGAGTCGTGTGTTGGAGCAGAGAAACCACTAAAACATGAATACCCTGACATAGAAGAAGAAACTATTTTTAAATGGTGCCTCTTTAGATAAAAATCACAAGGAGCTTCACAAGAAAAAAAATAAATTTTATGTAAAATAAATAAATGATGTAGTAAAAATTGGGGAAAATTTTAGTTACAAAATTGACAAAAAATGTATGAGAACAGGTAATCATGGTATCACGTGGGTCCATGTGGCAGGGGTGAGGAGTGAGCACCACCTCACCCCTGCCACATGGACCTCAAGCGATAAACCATCAATCCTGCTCAATGGTCAACTTTCCTCGCGGGGTCACCCATTAGGACAGTGGGAGGGTTAAAGGACACCACCGAGTCCACTGATCTCAGGCTCAGGAGGAGAGAGGTCCAGAGTCTGGGGGCCACAGCAGCAAATGATCTGTCACCTTTGGTCTTTAGCCTGGTGCTTTACAACCAGTAGGCTTTGATCACTGGACCTCAGGGACCTGCTGGGGGTGTAGGGACTAAGAAGATCGCCAATGTAAGATGGTGCTTGTCCATGTAAGGCCCTATAGACCAGAACCAGGATCTTGAAATGAACCCTGAAGTTGACTGGCAGCCAGTGAAGCTGCAGGAGAAGCGGGGTGATGTGGGTGTGTTTGGAGGACTTGGTCAGAAGCCGAGCACAGGCGTTCTGAACCACCTGTAGACGGTTCAGGGAGGTTCTGCTCAGACACGTGAAAAGAGAGTTACAGTAGTCTAAGTGTGAGGAGATGAAGGTGTGGAGAACTGTCTCAAGTTCAGAGCGGGACAGAATGGGACTCAGCTTAGCAATGTTCCTGAGATGGAAGAAGGAAGAGCGAACAAGAGAACTGACATGAGAATCCAGGGTGAGAGCTGGGTCAAAGGTCACGCCAAGATTCCTGACAGAAGGTTTGGTGTGAGAAGCAAGCTGACCAAGAGGGTCTCTGACTTTGGGAACCAGCTTGTCTGGGGCACAGATGGAAGCTGCGGGTAAAAAACCCACCATGCCACTGGTTTTAGTGCAAACTGCAGCTTTTCAGCTCCTCTTCGAATCAAACCTATAAATATTGTTCATTTAATCGACAACAAAAACGTATCGGTCATTATAAATGCACCATGCATGGCTTTTCATTTGTAACAGAAATGGCTGATCAGTTTTACCAACTTCCTGTACGGTTGGCTGCAAATCAGCCCGGAATCCACCCAATTTCTGCAAAAGCAGAAGTAAGTTTGGCCTTTTTTCCATCTTTAGCCTAAACTTAAACCAAATGACTTCATGAAAACACAAGCTGTGGCCTTTTGATGACATTTAATTCTCTAACAAAAATATTTGTTTGCATTATTTTGACAACTTCACTCTTGTAACGTGATGAAGGAGCCATTCCTCGAGGTTATTTATCCTCTAACCACAGTTCCCTTTGACACAGCGCCAGAGAGCATGAAACAGCCTCAAGGTCAGGCCTTCGCTTCTAAACTGTTTACTTTCCAGCAATGAAGACAGAGGATGAAGACTCTCTTTTCTTTTCTTTCATTAGATCAAAGAACTCTATTTTCAATAAAGCTAATCAAAACAACTGTTAGTCAATAGTACAATGTGACCGATCTGTAAAATCACAATATTATGATTAATATGTCTAATAGGTAATATGACTTATTCTAGTCACTAGACACGCTGATACACTAAGGTAAATAATCACATGACACATTGCTGTTGCTGATCCAATCAGAACCTTCAGGTCTGAAGCGTGACAGAGCCTCTGTGGTGTTTATTATTAAATCTGTCAGCTTTGATTCGTCCAGAATCAAAAACATCCAGATTAATAAAACAGTTCCAACGCCATCTTAAGTTCAGTATTCAAGATCTCTCAAGATCCCCTGAAGTTCACCGCATGTTAAGTGAAGTATGGACAGGCCATCTATACTTTTCTTTTTAAGCTGAGAACTATCAAGCTGGGAAAATTCTGTCGTATCAACCAACAACGGTTCCTTCAGAATAAAAGCTGAACTCGCTGACTCAAGGAGGGTCCTCTTTTTGACGCTGTGAAACACCTGTCGCTTTTTACCTGGAGACAATCCAAGGACTAGTTTGTTGTGCTGTGACACATTCTGGATCCATCGTGGAGGTCTCATTGAGGGTATGTGGATGCGACAGAATGGCGTCTCGTGTTTATGACCACGGGTCTCAAACTTTGATCATTTAGGAGCAAAACATCATCTCCCACTCAACTTTGCTTCTCCGGATGTGAAGGTTCTGAATTTGACATCATTCACACACACACACACACACCATCCACCTCACACTTCATTCCAACAGAACATCCATCATTAGAGAGTTAGTCTTGTTAAATTATTTAAAAATCATTTAGTAATAAATTTCCTTAAACGTTTGAAAGTGTCTCTTCTCTTGTCTCTCAGTTAATGCAAAGCGTTATTAGAAAATCCCTGTAATAAAAAGATCCAATCTTCTGATTTAAATAACCCAGTGTCCGTAAGATGGGATTCATACTAAATATGCATCTTTAATGTCTTATGGTCCTTAATTAAATGTAATTCTAATTCATTACACTCTACAGAGAAGAGTTTAGTTCACTTGTTTTCTAGAAATATTGGAATAAAAAATGTAAATATCTGAAAAAGAAAGTCTTTCCTGTTCTAAAATGATATTTTGTAAGAAAGCAGACATAAAATGTGTCTTTTAGGCATAATGGGTGCAGCCCCCCTGTGTAGTCAATATATTAGGTGATGACCATTATCTGGACCTGGTCCCTGAGGGTCACCATTCTGCACGTCTCAGAAGATTCTCTGCTGCAGGACACCTGATCTGAATCTGACGAACAGGTAAATCGGGTGTGCTGGAGCAGAAAACCACTGAAGCATGCAGTAAGTGTGTCCTTCAGAATGTCGGCCGACGCTGAGGGCGTGCCTCACAACCATAAATAATAGATGATGAAATAATGACCCAACGCTCGCTGTGTGTTTGTGAGAGTGGAAGATGCGCACGTGAGAGAATCTGTGCGTGTAACAACATCTTGATATTTTAACGAGGCACCGCTGGCGTAATCTGGGTCAGAGAGGATTAATTTTTAATTTTACTGTAGAGATGCACAACAGCAAAGGTCCATAAAGAGCTGCGGAGCGCTGCAGCTAAAATTAGCGGGCCGGTTTTTGTTTCCTGTGGATAAATAATCCTTCAGGCTTAAACGGACTTGTAGGACTTTAGTGTTGTTGGCCAGTCAATGCCTCTCACTCACACACACACACACACACGTGTGAGGTCATGACTCCTCCAGGGTCATTCCTCTGAAGGCAGACATCCTCATGTTCAGCCATCCCATAGTTTCTCTCCCTCTCTCATCTCTCCCAGTCCTTACTGCTGATCCGCCAGGAGATGGTGGTGTCCCAGAAGAAGCTGGGAGACTTCTGCGAGGCTCTGAAGCAGTACCTGAAGAACGTCTCTGCTCAGAAAGACTGCTTTCAGTAAGTCTCCACGTTTTCATGACTGTTCCTTTCTTAAATATTTCATGTGCACTATTTTCAGAGTGTCCAGTTTTAGGACGTCCGCTCTGATCAGATGTCAAAGCCCGGCTCCCGTTGCCTAAAGAAACCAACCTAATGGTCCAAATCAGTACGGAGCCATAAAGCTGCGTTCCTGGTGTGGATAATAAAACACCGGTTATACGGCGAGGTGGAACAATTAGGACCCTCCTGCGCCTCCCACTCCCACTCCGAGCTACAGGATGCTGTGAAACCTTTAATATCCAGAGAGATTTCCCCAAATCCCAGACTTAATAAGCTCTCCGTATCATCCAGTCGTATTTAGTTTCTGCTCCTGGCAAAAAGAAAAGGTTCTGCTTTATTACACGTGCTGCCAGGATATCCTGGAGTCTGCAGGAGCAGCAAACCTAAGGGCCGTTTCCCTGGTTTCCTGATGTACCTGCGAGGCCAGGTTCAGGTTAGGGGCGCTTTCACCTGGACGGATCACCTTAGTTCACTAGTGGTGAAAACAAGTCAGAGGACAGCTGAGTTCAAGAATCCAAAAACCATCAGAATTTTCTGATGATAATAATAATAATAATAATAATAATAATGCAAAACTGACGGATTACTAAAAAATTAAAAGGAAAAAAAATACGGGGATAAATCAAAAAGGACTAAAAAGGACAAACTAAAGGAAACTGGTTTTAATGTCTTGTAACTGGATTAATTTCATTTTGTAAAAAAAAAAAGCATTTTCACCTTTTTTTAATTCATGAGCAGAAGAAATGAGTTAATTTCTAAATTAACAAACAAAACCTTTAATCATCCAAATGATCGTTACACTTCCAGACAAAATGTTTCTATTTTTATTTAAAACGTCTAAATCTGTTCAATTTCAGCCAAAACTGATGAGACTGGATTATCTCAGGATCAGAACGCATTGGTCCCGCCCCCAGACACATTGAACCAATCGGAAGTCTTAATTTTCTCACCTGGTTTTTGGCGACACGCCTCTTTCAGAGCCCCAAAATCAACGTAGCCCTTTTAAGTCCAATTTTCTATTAATTTTAGGTCAAACGTGTCTCAGGTTTTCTAACGAGCCACAAAGAAATCTAATAAATTACAATTTTCTAATTAATTGGGGCTAAAAAGCACCTTTAAATGGTGATAGATGGTACATCAATTAAGCTTTTTAGCCATCCCGAAGCTTCTACTGTGTTTTATTGTGATTTGAGATCAAAAATAAAATCCAGACTCTTCCTTTTTGCTCCTGCGTTGTTGAACGGAACGCTGAGGTGAGAGGAGCCTGCAGGTAGACCGCTGCAGCAGAAACAAACACACCTCAGATTACTTGATGCCTTGTTAGGATGTTAATCACGTCTGTTTTTACATTTATTTCAGCTTAAACCGGTTCCTCTCCACTTAGGGATGTTTTTGGCACAAAAATCCTTTCTTTTTTTTAATTCAAAATAAAAACAAATAAAATATATAAACATTAAGAAATACATAACAAAAAATCAAAATTGAACAAAAAGAAGCAGAATAAAGAAAAACATCTTATAATGTCTGCCCCCTTTTCCAGAAGAAATAATCAATTTATATACAATCACCATGTGTCAGACACATACAGATTCATTTTAACCTTTTTCCTGTTCTTAATTCCAGTGCGATCATGATCATTTATTTAATTTACATTTTCATAATTATTTAGTACACACAGTTTGGTACATTTTTTGAATATATTAAAGAGCAAGTCACCCCCTACCAGATAGAGATGTGAATCTTCACTTGTCTCCCGATTCGATTACGATTATTGGGTCAACGATTCAATTCGATTCGATATCCCGATGCATCACGATGCATCACGATTATTTCATATTGATTTGTTTTCATCGATAAATAGAAGATGTCAGATAACTGCTTTTTATTTTTTTTTTATCAAAAACGTAATTGACAACCTGCCATCCCTCAAAATCTCTCCATTCACAACAGGTTAGGACAAAACATTTTAAACATTTAAGAAGATTTAACAAAGTAAAACATCTGTTTCCTGGTTCAACACCACGCCTCAGGCTGAGAAAAACACGCTTTGCAAAAACTCACAAAATCTAAAAAAGTACTGAAAACCTACAGGACACATAATGTAATAATAAAATCCATAATGTGTTCATACATGAGTGTTTAATGTCTCTGAGCAGCTCTAGAGTCAAATATTTATGCCACAGTTCAAGGAAGTCAGAAATAACACCAAATGAAATGTTTGACTTAGTTTATTTTATTTGAACCCAGTGGTTAATTTCTGAAATGTTGGAGAATGAATCAAGTTCTGTTTGATGCAGAAAATAATAAAACATAAAACAAATTCTACACTTCCAATAATATTTAAGATGTGTGTTTTATTCTTCCTGATAACACCAGCAGAAGGCTGTGGGCTGGATTAGGATTAAATTAACCAGCTGATGGATCTCCTTCACTAACCAGCTAACTACAAACCTTTCCACTAACCTGTCCTGTGGGACCCTCACCATGTAACCCTCATGTCCATGCTGTCTCTGGAGGAGCAAATAGGAGACAAGACCTCCTGTAACTAGGGTTGTCACGGTATGAAAATTTAACCTCACGGTTATTGTGACCAAAATTATCACGGTTTTCGGTATTATCGCGGTATTTTTTAAACGGTGTTGCATATGTTCAGAAAGCATTGATAGTCCTGTTCTACACAAACTGAAATAGTTCTGAAAAGGTTTAACAGTGTTTATTAAACCTAAAATAACACAAAGCCTTAGCAAAAGTGCAACTTTTCACAAGTAAAGGAACAAATAGCTTATTTTTCTGGAACATGTTACAGTAGTCAGTGCAGGTTTAAATTATACAAATCCAAACATTCAAAACATAAACAATATGTAAACAAATCAAAGAAACACCACTTGTTTTCTCATATACTTGTTTTCTTCATTATCAAAATGAAAATCTAAAACTCCAGTCCACACTTGACTTGAGCACTGTACAAGTCAACCTTAAAAAATATGTATTTAAAATAAATATCCACTTTAAACAAATTACTAAAATAACTACTACACTATGTAATCAAATCCAAATGTTCAAGTATAAATGGCATTGAATAAGTAAACAAATCAATGACAAGGAACTAATTGTATATTTCTCTTCATCATCAACAAATAAGATGCTTCATCCAGCAACAGGGTGTCCGTGACACGGTTTAAATGCTGGCAGAGGACGCTGCGGCTGCAGTATATAGTGACTCGTTGCATTCTCCCTCAACCAAAAGTCCTCACGTCATGCATTTAAGCTAAAATGCTGATGTTAACTTACCTTGCACTGGCTGTGGAGACGTGGGTGATGGTCACGCAGATGTGCCATGAGATTTGAAGTGTTGCTGCCTTCTGCAGACACTTGTTTCCTGCACGTTCTGCAAACGGGATAGCCGTCTTCTATTAACTGTCCCTCAGCGTTTTTCAGAAATCCCAAATATGCCCATACTTCCGATTTAGTCTTCTTTGAGGGCTGATGGATGTCCTGGGCGCTGCCGTCGCCTCCTTCGGCCATTATTTCAGCTTCAAAGTTTTGGTGCCGTTGCAAATTAAAAAGTGCGTGTGCGCGCAGCGGGAACTTCAGCTGAAGCGACGGTGGCTGGTAAGGGTCATCGCGCCGAAACCGCGGCCACGGTAAACCCACCGAGATAATATAGTTTTTTAAAAACTGGACGGTTATTTTTATTGTCAACTTTTTTACCGGGGTTTACCGCTATACCGGTTACCGTGACAACCCTACCTGTAACCTAAAATGAACCAAAGCTTCCTCCCAGTTTCTCTTTAAGATTAATTTAACATCAGTTTATCTTCATGACACAAAATAATAAAGTGGAACAAGAACTTCTATTTCTCTCTCCTTTTAACTTCTCCGTGTCCCTAAATAAAAGAGACAGACGATTGTTGCGTTTGTAATCAGGCAGCGGAGGCGACGTCTCGGTTCAACACTTTATTTCAAGCTTTACAGCGGTACACCATCTTGTTCACTCCTTCTCCCTTCTTTTCTCCCCTGTTCCTCCTCCAGCCTCTTTAGCGGCACCCCCTGGTCTGACAGTGTAACAGCATGTAATAATTTGCCTCCTTTACTACAGAACTTCTTGAACACAACATCTCCCCCTTTACTCAAAATAATATTCACTCCTTTGCAGCACAACATGAAACATTCAACGGCATTTTAAACCTGAGGCAATTAGTAACTTCAGAACAGTTTTATATATCCTCATACAGAACTGTAATGGCAAAACAACCCGGACCCCGGATCAACCCTGAATCAAAGGAACAAAACATTGCGTTCTTCTCAGCTGATCAAAAGTCACAGCTAGGATTAAAGATAGGTAATGAAACTCAAATACACTTTCCATTCACAGTCATTTCTCACATCTGCATATTCCTCCTTCATTTTTACCTCTGAACTACTTCATAATAAAGTCTTTTGTCCATCTTGGTGGTTGTCTGTCCCTCTGCAACGTGGGACGTGTAGCTGTCTTTGTTAAGCTGATATTCTCCGCCTCTGGATCAGCTCTTTGTGTGTGTTTTGCGTTCTCTGGGACGAGTGAGAGGCGTGCGGCATTCCATCTTCTCCCATCGCTGAGGACGAAAGAACTCTCACCTGTCTGCTGCTGTACCTCCAGCGGCTTGGTGTACTGTGGCTCTCCTTTTCCCACATGAAATGGCTTTCGTACTCTCACTGAAGCACCCACAGTCACTTTAGTAGGTTTAGCACCTCTCTTCTTGTCTGTATAAAGTGCACTTCTTTTCTGTGTCAATGTCACTTTGGACCTGATGTGGTCATATTGTCCAGCCTCCTTCGGTGGTGGCAGGATATTGAGTTTAGTCCGCATGGCTCTTCCTCTGAGGAGCTGGAAAGGGGACTCCCCGGTTGTAGCATGGGGGGTCGCTCGATAAGTTTGAAGCAGTTCTGTGACCACAGTTTTCCATGGTCGCTGAGTA